TACACACGGTAGTTATTGGCCAGTCGGCCATTATGAAAGAAATGGGTAGTTACAAACAGTTTCTAAACGATTAAAAACTGCCCAAGCCGTATAAAAGAAAGAAGAAGACAACGAAGAAAGCCCCGACAAAATTCACTCTCAAACAGAGAATATGTCATTTACTTTTTCTTAGATTAACTTCAATTATTTCAATTCCCTTGTACTTGTGTGCTTGCGCCCCTTGGAGGCATCTTGTTCGCTTCCAAACTGTAATCTTCATATTCAAGAAACACCCATTTTTGGGACTTTGTTCCAAGAGGTTTGTCCCTTACACAATCGTCTGATCCCTTTTTAATTGTTAGCGAGTAAACGCGCGAAACATCTACAAAAGATAGCACCAAAACCCTTAAAGGGTAATACCATATTTATGGTTGAAAAGAATGAAAACATGATTGAAAAACAATTTCTAGGAAATCAAATGTCTAATGCTGCGAATGATAGGTTGAAAGACCTACCCACCAATGAAGACAACTCGCAAGTACAAAAGAAAACATAGTTCTTGAAACATAGACCAATACCGAACCCGAAATAAGGTTCAAGAAACAAGATAACTAAAAGTGAGTTTTAATTCACCGAAGAAATTTCAATTAAAGGCGAAGTCTATCCCGCCAAGGAAATTTCAATTGAAGGCGAGGTTTATCCAACCAAAAAGAGTACGACGATTTCAAAGGAAATTGTTGTCAAAAAAAGGATGAGACCACGTCTAGAAAAACTTAAATATCATGACATATTGTAAAAATGTGCGAAGTACTTATGAAATGAAAGAACCATGGTGGGGGAAGCGAATTAATCCGCATCTCCCTTATGTTGTATTGCGCATTCATTATTTTTTTGAAAGTTGCATCGTTGAAATGTGATATTAGCAGAAGAATGATAAACTTTGTTGCTGATATAAACTCATTATAAGTGCTTCTATAAATATATAAATATATATATGTAGTACACATTCTCATTTTGGTTGGAACTACTAATTCTTTGATTCTAGTTAGTAAGAGGGATCTTGAACATGCAATCTATCCGTCTAAATTGACAAACGGCTGAAGATTTCTAAAAGCGGGGTCATCTAGGCTAATCGAGGTGTTATGCTCGAAGAGCATACTCACTTTGGAGCGAAGAGCATCAACAAGCATCGGCTGGCTTATCTTTAGCAGTGGTTTCACTGGAAGGAATAACTACAGAATCTTAAGTTGGTCAGGTTCGGCAGAAGTGGACGAATTATCAGAAGCCCCAGTGACTTGTGGAGTGTCCTCGTAGAAAGAAGTGCCTTCGGCATCCTCTTCGCGAACCTTCAGAAAATCAAAATTCCACTTAGGATGAAAGCTCCCAATAATGTCAAGAACCTTATTGCTTCCATCCTGCATAGTATCCTCCAAAAGCTTTTCCTCGTTAGCTTTTACTTCAGAAAGGCCAGACTTCGCAATAGCCAATTTTATCTCGGTATGCTCCAACTGATTGAGAAATAGGGCCTTTTCACGCATCGCTTTATCCAGATCCTTGGAGATGACAAATAGTTCAACCTTAACTGACTGAAGCTCCTCTCTGAGGCATAAAAGCTCAGTATCAGTTCTGACGATATAAGCAGCATAGTTGTCTTTAACTGATTTCAAGTCCTTAGTGACTCTGGTGAAATTGGCCACGAAAGATGCCTCCTTCACAGTTAAGGCCTTAAAGCCTTCGCTCATCTCGTTGTATTTTCTCTCCTCTTTCTCAGCTTCTCCCAATTTTCTTTAGAGAATTTCACACCTCCTCTAAAGAATTTGTTTTCTTCTCCAGTCTATTAGTCGTCAAATACGGACTTCATACTTAGCCTACTGATTATGATGAAGAGCAGTATCCAATAAGAGGTGAGTGTAGATTAAATTTCCCTTTTGCTTGGGAGTCATACCCTCCGCAAACTTCTCCCCCACAGAGTTAAAATACAGGAAGGTGGACCAATAGCCTTAGAAACAAAGGTGGGAAGCAATTATAAGGCCTTGGGGGTTCAATTCCTAGATAAGGCGAGAGGGTATCTGCAAGGTGTTCAAGCCCCACTGGCATTCATGTTCCCTTTTGCAGGGGTACCTTGCCAAATTCGGCATGGTTTGGCAAGGAGTGGGCGAGCATTTAGCTTCTTAAGGTGGTAGAGGTCCTCTAATTGTACCCTCGCCCTCGTGTGAAGCCTCACCCTTGTATCCCCTAGAGCCCCCTGTGGGTACATCCTTAGAAGGAGAAGAGGTTGCCAATTATTGGCATTTGGGAGCAGCGCTAAAGTTGATTTTGATCTTCTTAATAGTGTGAATGGTGATATTAACTATACAAATAAAGAAAACTGTATGAGCAAATGTCGAAAAAGAAAAATATTACAAATGAAATTAATGCTTTCTTTAGACATTGAAATATCAAAATAAACAAGCATTATTAGGGGAGAAATCCCTAGTTACCACATAAATAAATAGAATACTCTTTTTCTATGTGCAATATTAGAAATAGAAAATAGATAAAGAAAAGGGGACTGAAAACCTCATATTTGACAAAAAGTTCATAGAAAGTTATACAGCCTCAAGAGGAATGGTTGGTAATTTAAGATTACTTGGGATACAATAACATTACAAATGCATCCGTCCCAACTAAATTGATAAGGCCTCAAAGTCGCTCATTAATCAAAACTTATGGTCTCTGGGACAGAACTACTAGATTAGCTCTTCAATCCGCATGATGTAGTACGAACTTCAACCTTAAGTTGGGGACTAACACTCAACTGAGATTATCCCAGTATAACCCTAAAATTAAAAGCGATACATGTCAACGAGAAACATAACTCCAAGGATATAAACTTCTTCAAAAGAGGTAACAACACCAAAAAGAGGCATATTTAAATTAAAAACTTCCAGCCTCCAAAGCCATGGAATATGTTTTGCAGAAATAAACCAAATAGGCAAGAGATAAGTGCAAGGTAATACATATGTACATATCTAAATGAAAAGGTTGAAAGATAACAGAAGAAGAGAGGAATTGCCGAAAAGCAAGAATGTCGCCAAGAGCAAGAAATAAACACAGAAAGCGAAGAAAGCGGTGGTAAAAAGAATGGTATATTAATAGGTTTAGACGAAATATTTGAGCTATCGATTGGATCAACAATAGATCTAGAACATTCATACACTTCTCACAATCATGGCTATCCAACACTAACAGGTCCTCGACCAAAATTCAAAAATGCACGGATAGGATCGACCATGGGCAACATGCGCTTTAAATGCATGCAAGGCATTAAATTGGAAATGCAACCCTTTAGCATATACTAAAAATTGTAACAATCATAACATGTTCCCCTCAAAGTGTCCCACGTCATCTACCACTAAGAAAGGAGTTATGCGAGCAACAATAGGTTCGCTATGCAACAGTAGAAATTAAAGTTCTAGATTTATTATGAATAATAAAATCGAACTTGGGAGACTATTTGTTAACCCTCGAAGCGAAGTCTGCAAACGTGGATAGCAATTGGCGAAGTATAAAAGTGACTCGCCAGGGGAGCAAAGATATTGTAGCCCCGCCTGAATCTTGCGAATCATTTTCCATGTTCAAGTTGGCAACAGACTGTCATTAAAAGGTACATGGGGCAATGAGTAATGCGTGATTCTCAATCAAATCTGTTATAAGATAGCCAACAAGGAGCTGCCATCTGTATTCTCCCAAAAAGACCAAATTACTCCAAGACTTGAAGAAAAATCTATAAATAAGAAAAATCTATAAATACCCCCTCATTTGAAGAAGAAAAACATACAATTCAAATATTTTCCTCTCAAACAACTATTTTTCTAGTTGCTCCTGTTTGAGCAAAAAATTAGTGAGTGTAGGAAGTCAAAATTATAGCTAAGTAGAATTGGTTCATCATATTTGTATCATCAACAACTGTGATTTTACCAACTCCAACAGTGACTCCAATTTATTCGTAACCAAAATATATTAGTCTTATCCTTCTATCACTTGTTATATGATAAAATAAATACATGTACAACACTTCATTTTTCACTCAATGAAATATAATACTTTTCCTCTCTCTTTGTAATGTTAACCGCTGCATTGCAAATCTTGTTTAATTTAATTATAACTTAGTAAAAGCAATATAAACCACACAACACGAGAGGTTTCACGTGTGTTGCACCGATTATGACAAGACAAATGGCAAATTTCATCCCAACCTCTTCGGTGAAATCGTACTAAACATGTCCGGCCTTTTTCGCTTTTACTTTTTCGTTTTAGCCCCTATTTGACAACTATTATTTTAGAACTCTCTCTTTTTTTTTTTTTTACATATTTTCAATCACATATTCATACAATAAAATATTCTACATGTCAATTCAAAACTTTTTCCTACTTTTTAATTATATTATCCTAAAAATCACTATTTAGAACTCTATTTACCATATAGCTGGCGTTGAATCAAGCCTTCTTGCATCTGCATTGCAGTTTTTAAGTACAAATTGTGATCAAAGCAAGTTCGTCAACGTATAAAACCAGTTAGCCACTTAGAAGGAACCAATACGCCAAGAACATCTTCTTTTTCCTTTTTAACACCGACCACCAGTGTTCAATCCACATTGTTAAACGTATCAGAAATATTACAAATATGCGCCATAAAACTCTTTATTACTAGTCATTTCCATGTCATCTGAGCTGCCATGGCTATGACTCAATAGAGCAACAGTAGCTACTTTACAAAATTTGCAGTAGTTCAAGAACCAACGGGTACTAGACTAGGAAAAAGACAGACTCGCGCACCACGGGGACATGGTAACATTATTTCTCTTACATGGTAATATTATTTCATTATTTATATCACTGATTGGATATTACTGCCTACTCATCTTTAAGGTAGCTCAACGGGTTTGATACACCATATGTCTTTGGCGTATTCATGAATTGTTCTGTCACTGCTGAACTTGAAGGAGCCTGCTGTATTCAGTATAGACATTTTTGTCCATCTCTGCAAAATAACAAGTTGGCATATTAGGCATAGAGTAATAGAAGCCAAAATAGGATTTAATTCGTGGTGTTGATAATGTTGGGGGGGAAAAAAGGAATTTCAAGGTAAAACTTCGAATGGGATGATTACAATCAATGTCCCCAACCTTTCATTGATGGGAAGAAATGAGAGTCTGAATTTATCAGCACATCTAGAATCACAGAATATTTAATTTGCTCTTTTTATAAGGTTTACTATTTCTGTCTTTTCAATTTAGCCCCTGCTTGGTGTAGCTAAAAACCAGATTTTTAGTAGATTTGATTAAATGAGTCGTAGAAAAGTTGTGGGTCCCCTGAAATGTGTTGTTAAAATTAATTGTTAACTTTGACTTAGATTTTAATCCACACCGAAAAGGGGCTTAGTCTCATTTTTCAGCTAAAGTGTAATTGTATTTCGAATGAAAATTTTAAAAGACTTAGTGGTCAAATGGGCGAAATTCATCCACTGGTGGACCCCAGTGCTTCCTGCCAAAAGAATAGATCAAGGACCTACTTACTACTTTTGGAATATTTTGGGGGACTCGAACTGTTATTTCACAACTTCGAATACAAGGAAAAAAGTTTGAATTTCAAGTTCATGCAGATAACAAGTTGTTGAATACATGCATATGCATGGCATAAATGCAAAAACTAGCAATATGGACTAAGGCTTGATATAACTCACCTTTTGATCTCGATATGCATCATCAACCTTCTCTTGGCATTCGATGTAACTTGGAAAGTCCTTGCCCACAAGGAAGTAGTCAGCACGGCCAAATCCTTCATTCCCTTCCAAGGACCCCATTAGTTCATCATAATTATAAGGCCCAAAAGCACCATTCCTAACAAATTCCTTGACTTCCTCAAAGCGTTCATCTGGCACAAACTGCAATTAACAAGAAGATAAAAATGAGTCAATCCCAAAATGAACATCACTTGGAAAATGTAAGATGGATTGGTTTTGGACAACTTTGATAAACACATGACCGGTCTTTATACATTTGACATCCCACAATCCAGTTTTACAAGGCCACTATATTCAAACTAGAAAACAAAAGAAAACATTTAAAAAAGAGCAATGAAGGAAACAGGTCTTAGATTTTAAAGATTCTGGGCACACAGAGGGAAAAATAGAGTTGAACTTTACCTTGCCCTTGGCTCTCTCTATCCGAAGTGCTGCAATCTCATGAGCTTTAGCTCCAAATAAGAAAAAGTTGTCCTCGCCAACTTCCTCCCTAATTTCAACATTGGCACCATCCAAGGTCCCAATCAATACGCAGCCGTTCATTGCGAACTTCATGTTGCTGGTCCCACTGGCCTCCATACCGGCAGTACTAAATAAGGAAATGGGGGTGGGGAGGAGTGGAGGTCAGATATTGTTGTGTTGAATCAGTTAATGAAGGGAACACATTTTTCTTTCAGGAGATATGATGAATCTAATACTTCCAAGTATAAGCTTACACACCTGATATGTTGTGAAAGTTCACTTGCGGGAATTAATAATTCAGCAACACTCACATTGTAATCTGGAACAAATACAACCTAGATAGAGGTTGAACGTAACGTAATTAAAACCATGATTTGTGTGAATGAATGTGCACCAAGCAACTTAAGAGTAACATATACCAAGCAATCCCACAAAAAAATTATATGACAAATCCCTTTTTCTTTGCATATAAGAAGCATAAAGTCAACCACAAGAAATAAATGATTCAATGACATTGAAATACAATTTAACGATATTAGGAGGAAGCTTGTACCTTTAACAAATCAGCAATATCTGGATCATGATTTATGGTAGCTCCAACATCTGTGATAAATTTTACAATCCTCTTTGCTTGTACGTATGTGGCAAATGCTTTTCCTCCAAATATACAAACTCGAGGAACAAACTTTTCTTTCCTTTCTGCTGCGGTCATTTCTTTCATTTTCTTATAGCGATAAACAATTCCCAAGAGATTTAATAGTTGTCGCTTGTATTCATGAATGCGTTTTACCTGAAAAATGGCAGCCACATTCCATGTCACCAATACCGCCGGAGAATTGTGTGGAAAGGAAATATAAGAATTGATCTCGAAAATGATGACTAGGAAATATGTATATGCCCATCAGATGTAGATTGTTTAAAAATTCAAACCACAACCAAGAGGAGAGAAAATGACCTGGATATCGAACATTGCATCTGGGTTAACCGAATACCCTGTCTTATCTTTGAGGAATGAAGCAACCTTGATCTTGTTGCTTCTTTTGGCTGCCCTCCACTCAATTTGAAGATCCTCATTATCTGCAAACTGCAATGATTTTTTCACGCGTTAAAATACATTATATGGCTTCAATAACAATAAGGAAAGAAAAATAATCCACTGGGTTTAAAGATAGTGCATGTATAAAAGAACTGAACGTAAAAGTCTTACTTAATTTAATAAGGTGAATAAACATATAAGCTGTTAAGAAATGTAGAAGTTATTATAAGGTGAAACTATATTGCGCAACTCCTGAAACATGGGTTATGTGTAACTTGAGGTGACAAACATGAGGACTTAATATGAGTACTTATCAGCTCAATAAGCTGGAACAAATAAAGGTCCTGTACAGAGCCTGTTAAGACACAGAAATCATTCCAGAATTTAATGGCCTATTACAAATAATCTAGCAATATGAGTGCTGTATATAAAAGTTGGATGTGGCAGACTACATGAATTACCTTCTGCAGTTCTGCCAATTTCTCAGTATTCAGGACCCAATCCTCTGTACCTATCCACTTAGAAATAATGGTACTTAGATCTGGATTGCAGAAATGGATCCATCTTCTAGGCGTTACACCATTTGTTTTGTTCTGAAACTTCTCAGGCCAGAGCTGCAAAAGATTTACAAATGAAAACCTCTTGCTACACAGGAGAAGTACAATAATCCACCAAAATCAGCAAATGATACATGATCGGACAATGAAAAAGAGTTCTATAATCTTATTGAGAAATTTACCTGAAAAAAGTCATTAAAGACTTCCTTTTTAACTATTTCACTGTGGATCTCTGCAACTCCGTTAACGGCATGACCACCTACAACACAAAGGTTAGCCATCCGCACCATCTTCGGCAGTATAGGAGCTTGTTCGGGTTTTACAACTTTCTCCTCCTGTGGGTCTTTTCCTTCAAGTTCATCTTCACCCTGGACCATCTTCTGCGGTATAGGAGCTTGTTCGGGTTTTACAACTTTCTCCCCCTGTGGGTCTTTTCCTTCAAGTTCATCTTCACCCCGGACCATCTTCGGCGGTATAGGAGCTTGTTCGGGTTTTACAACTTTCTCCTCCTGTGGGTCTTTTCCTTCAAGTTCATCTTCATCAACAGGCACAACTTCATCGCTAGTTTCATGAATAAGGATTTCTTCTGGTTTAGCAAATAAATCAGCCAAAGATGCAGGCAGATCAAAATTTTCCAAAATTCTCATTGCATTCACTTTTTTCTCCAACATTTCAGGATTTGATGTGCCATATTCTGATATTATGTCTTGAATTAGCTGAAAGATGATTAAAATGTGATGATATTCAAATGATGATAAATTCATGGAAATATGGGATTTGTTGATTTATTCATGTGTCTTAATACCTGTTCATCAATCATCTCTATAATTTCAACGTGTCTTGGCAGCAGTTTTTGCATTAGTTCATAACTCCATTTCTCCAGGGCCTCAGGCAAAACAGTGTGATTTGTGTATGCCACAGTTCTGCAAAGAACACACCACATGAATAGTTAGTTTAGTAGCAGAAAACTTGAGACATTACAAAGTTTAATTACATTCAATAAAACCAACCGATTTAAAAAGCATACTATTGTTTTTGGCCATTTTAGTTTTTTGTTGGAACTAGATGCATGGATGGAGTCACAAGGCACATCAAACAATTTTTTTACAATAAAGTTACAGAAGATACCAAGTCAAAGTTCAGCCACACATGCAAAGCCATTATTTAAGACGGAAACAAATCAAAATTTTCCAAACAAGGAATACACAGCAACACAAATTTAACCCACGAAGATTATATAGTTCGGCGTAATAGAGAGGGATTCCTAGATAAATTTTAGCACCACTCTACCATAGACTTTGTGTCTGCCTCATAAGACATAAATCACAAAGACCTGAGTATGATGGGGAAGAATTGGATGCTTCTGTGTATGCATTGATTAATTTTATCTATGATTCATAAACCGGTTCGAAGCCAAATAATTTGTTATCTCATCTAAAAGTTTAATATCGTTAAGAGGGAAAAACTTATTTGCTAAATTTAATCTTGAGCACATCCCTCAAGTAGATGCCAGTAACAAGTTTTTCATGTTTTCACAAATAGGTGAGGATGAGATTGAGACACAGAACCAAGACCTTTGTTTGCTTTGGATACCAAGTTGAACACATCATTTAAATGCTTATGTTATTAAAAGGGGACAAAACTAGTTTTAAATTTTTTTGTCTTCAAACACTATAATTTTACTTTGCATTATATTCCAGTATATCTTTAAGGATTTGAAGAACTTCTCTGACATGGTCCATGTAAAGAACAAAATTCCTTATCCATTAAAAAGGGGAAGTACCTCTGTGTAATACTCCAAGCTTTCTCCCAACTCATGCCCTTGAAGTCCATCAAAATCCTCATTAACTCTGGAATACATAGTGTTGGGTGAGTGTCATTCATTTGAACTGCAACCTTTTCCGGAAACTCTTCCCATATCTCATTTCCACCAGATCTCTTCTCAAATCGTGCAATTATATCTTGAAGAGAAGCTGAGCACAAGGTATATTGTTGCTTCAGTCTTAGGATCTTTCCCTCCGTTGATTCATCCCCAGGGTAGAGTATGTAACAGATCTGATGTCAGAGAAAAGCAGAAGATAGGTTATTCTTGTGAAGTTGGTGGTGCATTTGCATATAAGAGCAATATTTAGGGAATTAGGAAGAACGTAACAACAAAAGTTTATACCATATTTAATATGCATACCTTCTCAGCATTTACTTTGGCTTCACATGCTTTCGTGTGTTCTCCAGCGTTGAAAGCATATAAATCAAATTGTTCAGATGGAACCTTAGTGGACCACAGTCGAAGGTTGATTGTGGTTTTGGTTTTATATCCTGGTATTGGCACATCACATGCAACAGCAACTATATCTTCTCCACCAATCCAACGACTCTTCCCATCCGATCCTGTAAGAACTTTGCCGAAAAACTTCACAGGATATGAGACATCATTTCTCACAATTTCCCAAGGATTGCCCATCTGCATGGAAACTTAGTTTTAATAGGATATACTGGAGGTTTTACATAAACATATCACTATGGAAACCTTTTGATGAATCGTTTCCAGAAGCTTTCTTGGAGTATGATTGTAAATTCCAAACACTCTATATATGAATGATGCAAAAAATGAATAAAAGCGAGCGTACTTCGAGCCAATTTTCAGCAACCTCCTCTTGTCCATCTTTTGTAATCAGCTGCTTAAATAAGCCATACTTGTACCTAAGTCCATAACCCCATGCTGGATAATTTAAGGTTGCCAATGAGTCCAGAAAACAGGAAGCGAGTCGCCCCAAACCCCCATTTCCAAGAGCAGCATCTGGCTCCTGTTATGGATAAGTCAATCAATTAGCAAAAAGAAAGGAAAGAGACTGGCTAATACTTTCTTGGAGATTGCAAATCCTAGCAGTCTTTTATCTCAATATCATTTATGTGTCAAAGGTCCCCGTATTTCTTAGCCCAAGTACATGTTTCAGCACAGACAAATCCGCAGCTCATATTGCAATAAAGCAAGATTATGGCATAACACTTGCAGACGTAGAAAACTAAATTATGATATAAGTAATTTTGTGAAGACTAAAAGTGAGCAAAGTCTTGATCATTTAACAGAGCCACCCTAACAATTACATTGTAAACTAAATTCTGATATACAAAGAAACAAAATGTCCACTTCCAACGTATCCCAACTGAAATAATCACGGGACAATCTGACCTGTGAAGCTACCGATTCAAGACTGTGACCAAGCTTTTTCAAAGCTTCTGCGTATTCACCAGAGAGCTCCAAATTACCAATTGAATTTAACAATGCTCTACCCTGAGAAGAAACAGGCTTCGTCAGAGAAAGAGAAGTAACCAAGAGCTCAACATGGCAGATTTTTGTTGAGGATACAAGTCCACATATGCAGTAGTACTTGGCTTCTGATGTTAATAATCAAAACTATTGAGAAGGGACTCAGTACAAACCTGTAGAAATTCCATTGATAAATAGTATGCTTGTTTTACATTCATCTTTTCATGAAGATCATATGTTGCATTCCAATTGATGATTAATGCATCACGTACACTTTGGGCAGTAGCATAGAAAGCCTTGGGGAGCTCAAAATGTTCAGGAGAAAATAATGGTGTGAACTCGGCGTGGTATTTGATACTTGAGGCAATAGATGCAGCATCAGGTTTAAACGAACTCTGATAACTATGAACTCCTAAAATCAACACACGAGATCAAATAGTTAAACCTGAGTTCACTAGCATAAAGCTGATACAAACAACTGACTCTTGATCAATCAAATACTTGCTCTTTGCATCCATAATTCAATTTTTGACAAATGTGTCAATTCTAGATAAGGCTATCAAAAATATTATACAAAAATAAAACATAAAACCACAAACTTTGATGATGTGGAAGCATAAATACTGACCAAAATTTTACTCTAAGATAAAGGTTTAATATCTCCAGTTCGCGAGTTTTATTATTCCAAGTAAAGCTGTAAACTTTTAGGGTGTGTTTGAGCCACATTATTTTGGAAGAATGTATTTTGGAATAGTAGATTGATGAAAAATGTGTGGTTGAAAAATAAGGAAAAGTTCTTGATGTGATGGAAAATATTATTTTATTGAAGAATGTATGGTTGAAAATGAGTAGAAGAATGAGAATGAAAATTTTAATGTGACTCAAACAGAGATTTAAACTAGATATCTATTATTCAAGCATTTATAAATCACAGATGTTCCTAGAGTAGTAATGCTTACTAAGAAATTTGTATTACACTGCTTATACTGCAATATATCCAAAGAAAATCTCATCCAAAAGCTGGAACTTAAATTGATTCACATTCTATTATTATTTTTCAACATCATGATTGTAAATAGTTACATATACTCTGGAATTAGCACTTTTCCCCCTCTTTTTAGCAAAAAATTGATTTCTATGCCTGTACTTTCTCTAGCTTGCTGGTTCAATAAAACCCCCAATTTCATTATATTTGCACATATGCTCAAATGGCCCCTTCCTCCCCATAATAGAGCACAAAAGACTCTCCCTCTCTTTTTCAATTAAACAGCTTTGTACAGTGAACACCTGTATGTAGCTCTGTGTATTTAGGTAAGAATCTTTATGGAATTTCATTTCTTGACTCCTCGTTATTGAGGATGTGGAAGCCTAAATACCGACAAAATTTTACTCTAAATAAAGGTTTAATGATCTCCAGTTCAAAACTTGTTATTCCAAGTAAAGCTGTAAACTTTTAAACCTGATATCTATTAGTCAAGCATTTATAAATCACAGATGTTCCTAGATTAGTAATGCTGACTAAGAAATTCATGAATTTCACTGCTTATGCTGTAATAGATCCAAAGAAAATTTCATTTAAAAGCTAGGAACTTAAATGGAACTGACATATTTAAATTTCCAAAATTTAAAATTTGCCAAATGCTTAACAATGTTTGAGTGTCGAGCAATAAAAACGCAGAAAATTAAGATATATTATAATTCACAGGAGTTTCTAAGTTAATTAGGCTGAGAAAGAATTCGTCAATTCTTCTGATTAGACTGCAATTAGTATATAATCCAAAGTAGAATCTCTACCAAAAGCTAGGAACTTAAACTGACCTCACAATTTCAAATTTTCCAAAAATTAAACTTTTCCAAATGCTTAACAATTTTCGAAATGGTAGACAATAAAAATAGCATCAAAAGTCCAACTGAGACTCTCATCCAAAAACTAGGAATTTAAATCTACCTCACATTTTAAAATTTCCAGAAACTAAAATCATCTTAACAATTTTTGAAGCGTTAAGCAATAAAATAAATGATAATTAACACAGATTACATAACATAGCATCAAAACATCCATCGTAAGTGTAATATACAAACAGAACCTTCTTCAGTGATCGGATCAATTACTTCTTGCTTCGGCTCACTGGAAACACTCTTCACATAAAATGACGAATTTACCCTTCTTCTCGTCAAAAACAGCTTACAGCTTCCATTTCTGCAACTGAAATCAATTAGCCTTGAATTAGAACGTCGATGCGATAACACTGCCGTCGCCGCGTAGCACGAAAAAGTCGCCATTTTTTCTCTCTGCCTCTATGAAAGTGTGTGCAAATGTGTAGCGTTGATACTTGAGATTGAAGATATTATAAATAAAAAATATCTGAGGGACATGGTTTGATGGAGTGTATTGTCTGGTAGTGATTAATCATCGAATCACGATACTGTTTCTCGTGCCAGCCATTCTGTTAGTAAACGTAGATATCATATCACTCACTATATGGGAAAGAAACTGTCTACGGTCGAGAATTCAGCGTTCTCGATAATATTAATATTTAAGTAATATCTCATCCGTTCCACAAATATAGACTTGTTTTCATTTTTAGACGAATCGAAAAAATATAAATAATATAATTAGAAAATTAAATTTTTTTTACATTTTTCCTAATATACTCCTATATTAAATAAGGGTTTAAGTTGAAATAATTCATATTTGTTTATAACAAGGTACATTACATAAGAATATACATTTTCCTTTTAAAAAAAAAGTAACGTTATTCATAGTCAACGACTACAGTAGGCATTCTATATGTCAATTTGTTATTGATACATTAGTATAATATTTCTACTTATAAACTCGATTGAACATATTTATAAATTAGAAACTAAAAATGACAATATTCATCTTTGTAATCCAAATAGCTCGTAAAATCTCTCTCTAGTTAAGAAGAATTGGCTCACGTTCATTCTTAGCTAACTCTCAGAGTGACTAGCGGGAATCTAGGCACCTGTCGAAAAGCTCGATATTGCCATATCAAGAAGCACGAACGAGCATAGAACCAAGAGGCACAAGAAATAGAAATCACTCGCGAGCATCATTATGGGAGTTCTTGAGTTGAGTTGACTTTGCAAGGCAGGGTACTTATATTTAGGTGGGACAAGGTTTAGAGTGGAGAAGCTCATCTGAAATTAGAGCTAAAAATTTCCTACTTGTTTTCGTTCAAGTAAATGACTACAAAATGCTTCTATACTTTTTTTTCAGGGTTGAAAATTCAAATCACCATTGTACTTTGCACAATATTCTTCATTTATCATTGAAATTTTAAAAAAAAAATTTGATTGCTGAACTTATCAAATTGTTATTTAATTGAACATTAAGTTTTAAAAGTTCTTCTATGGTCTTCGAACTTATTAAATTATTATATCATTAACTATTAAATTTTAAAAGTTTTTCGGATGATCACTTATCAAATCATTATTTCATTCATTACTCAATAACTCAATGTTAGAAATTTCGATAGACTCGCTGATGTGGCAAAAAATATTGACACGCACATTATAGTCATTAGTTGACAATAATTTAGCCAAAAACACGCTTCCATCTATTAAAAGCATTTATAAAAATGCGATTGAATTTTAACTTTTACCTGCTTTTCATTTGTTTACTAAAATTTTCAATTAGTGTTTTTCGTTGCTTTTTCCTGTTAATTATATTTTTGTAAATGTATTTTTGATTGATTTGTCATCAAATAACAACAATAGTGTGTCACGTCGAATTTTTTAACAGTAAGTTATTGAGTGATGAATGGGATAGCGATTAGATAAGTTTGAAAACCATCCAAAAAACTTTTAACGATTTAATGGTTGAAGGGATAACAATTAGATAAATTCGGTGATCATCATTTGATAAATTTGATATTCATCTGAAAAACTTTTAAAATTTAATGGTCAATAAAAAAAATATACAAAGTTCAATGATCATTTGAATTTTTAACCCCTTACTACTACTATTTCTATTTGTATCAATTCCCCAAAACTTAACCAGATTCCAACTAATGACTAGGGACGAACCCAGCACCCGACAAGCCCTCGTGGCCGCCCGTGCTGGATCAATCGGGAACATTTTTTTTTTGGTTGACAATCAATAAACATTTTAGATTATATACCTGGTAATTTATTTTATTTTCAAATATTTCTTATAGCTCAATTGGGTAGAACTCCTATATTTATATAGGAGGTGCTGTTTTCGAATCCATTTCCCATCATTTGTATTGTGTAAGATTTTTAATACTTTAATTTTTACCTTTTACCGAAATTAAATAGGATGGAGTGGTAATTCGAAATCGTGACCCCTCCTAGGATAGTGATAGCTTGACCATTGTGACACTTCTTGAATTTGATTCTAATCTTACCAGAATAATATATGTTACATTGTAGCGGGTTTAATGCAATTCTAAAAATTTGAACACATACTCTTCCTTTGAATTATACAAAACTTGGTCACAATATTATTTGGTGAATATTGCTAATTTTTACAACAAAATTATATATGTTCAGTTTGAACAAATTAATTATTATATTTAAATTTTAGACCTTATTTGATTTTTTTTTTTTTAAATATATTTCTCTTTCTTCTTTCAACCGCACATTTCTCTTTCTTCTTTCAACTTCACATTTTTTAATAAAATAATATTACATTCAAATTCAAAACTTTTCCTTATTTCTAATCACATATTTTCCATTGAATCACTATTCCAAAATGCACTTTTTGCAAAAAAATTTGAGCATCAAATGAAACTCTTAATATTTTATTGCTGACAATAGTCAACGATCCACGGCCGCCCGTGCTGACCCAAAATCCTATGTCCGTCACTGCTAATGATTGCCTAAGTAAGAACTAACATGGGCTCAACTAGGCTTTTGAATAGCCTTTTTAACTGAGAGAATTGATTCAATTGTTTTGGCTACCTGACATCGCAGTAATGTTCCTTGCTCCAAGAAACTGAATTCTTCTCAAAGAATGGGTTCCTAAATGCACCATTTCCTCGTGAATGGAAAAGAAGGGCACGAATTCCGTTTTGAGAATTTCGAGGCATTAGGCAACTCATTATTTTGAGGTCCTTATTTATTGATCAAAAAGACACAAATTGTCACAATTACAAAATTAATCACACATATTTTATGTCATATATTATCTATTGATGACAAATTACCCAAATAATTGGTCACAATTTCCCAATAATTAATCACAATCACTTTCATCACACCCATTTGGCCACTCCATCCCACCACCACCGACACCACCCAATACGTCTCGTCACCTCACCACCACCACCATACAAATGTATCCAAATGCTGCTGTCACCTCCACTACCACCATGGCCACGACCACGAGGCAGAAATGTATCTCTACCGCAACACCACCACACAGATCTATATATCCACTCACACCACCCCAGATCTATACACCTATCGCACTACTACAACACCGTCACCTACACAAATCTGTATACCACAATCCACCACCACCTGCACCACCATCACCGTAAACGAGGTCAATCTAAGGAGTGATTTTGGCCCCTCATGGAGCCGCCACCTTCACTTCCCAAAAATCACTCGATCCACCATCAAAACCAACGAAAAACACCATCAACAACAACTAATCCTCAAAATCAAATCAGTAGATTCGCATTGGGATTCACGAGGATACGTATCATAATGCACTTATTCTATACAAGAGTTGGCCAAAGTCCGACAGCATCACAGCAAAATGGACACGAGAGCACTCAAAATTCTCAAACAAACTCACTGTATAGAACAACACTCAAAGCGTAATAAAAGATTTTATTGATCT